CCCTGATCAACAAGCAGCCGTTAACATTGAGGTAAGACCATTTATCCTTTCAGCAAAAAGATTATGACTCACTGAAGGCTCGGATGATCATTAGCATTTTTTAGCAATAAAGTGTTTTAAAATTAGGCTATTTACATTTTTTTTTTTTTTTCTGAGATGGAGTCTCGCTCTGTCCCCAGGCTGGAGTGCAGTGGCACGATCTTGGCTCACCGCAAGCTCCACCTCCCAGGTTCATGCCATTCTTTTGCCTCAGCCTCCCAAGTAGCTGGGACTACAGGTGCCCGCCACCATGCCCAGCCAGTTTTTTGTATTTTTAGTAGAGACGGGGTTTCACCGTGTTAGCCAGGATGGTCTCGATCTCCTGACCTCGTGATCCACCCGTCTCGACCTCCCAAAGTGCTGGGATGACAGGCGTGAGCCACGTGCCGAGCCTACATTTTTCTAAACATAATGCTATTGCACACTTAATAGACTATAGTGCAGTGTAAATATAACTTTTGAAATAATTTCAAAGGTATTACAAGAAAACTATAGAACAGTACCCCTTATGGATACTGATGCAAATATCCTCAAAAAAATACTTGCAAGCTAAATTCAACAGGATATTAAAAGGTTATACACGATGACCAAGTGGGATTTATTCCTGGAATACCAGTGTGCTTCAACATATAAAAATCAAGTAATGTAATGTACCACATTAACAGAATGAAGGGGGAAAATGCACATAATTATCTCAATTTAGAAAAAGCATTTGACAAAACTTATACCCTTTCACAATTGAAAACACTCAATAAACTAGGAATAGAAGGAAATTATGTTAACGTAATAAAGGCCATATATGAAAAACCCATGAGTAAAATCATACTCAATGGTGAGAGACTGAAAATTTTTCCTCTAAGATTGGAATAAGAAAAGAATGCCCACTCATGCCATTTCTATTCAACACAGTACTGGAAGTCCTAGCCAGAACAATTAAGCAAGCAAAATAAGTAAAAAGGCATTCAAGTTAGACAAGAAATAAAATTAGTTAGTTCTGTTTGCAGTGGAAATAATTTTATACATGGAAAATCCTAAAGACTCCACCAAAAATCTGTGAGAAGTAATAAATGAATTCAGCAATGTTGATGGATACAAAATCAATATACAAGGCTGGGTGTAGTAACTCATTCCTGTAATCCCAGCACTTTGGGAGGCTGAGGTGAGAGGATTGCTTGAGGCCATGAGTTTGAGACCAGCCTGGGCAATATAGCAAGACTCTGATCTACAAAAAAAATTATTTTAAAAATTAGCCACCTGTGGTGGTACATGCCTATAGTCCTAGCAACTCAGGAGGCTGAAACAGGAGGATTGCTTGAGTGCAGGAGTTCAAGGTTACAGTGAGCTATGATCACACCACTGCACTCCAGTCTGAGTGACAGAGTGAAACTCTGGCTCTTAAAAAAAAAATTATTTACATTTCTATACACTAACAGTGAGCAATCTGAAAGAATAATTAAAAAACTATTCCATTTAAAGTACTTATGATTAAACTTAACCAAGGAAGCGAAAGACTTGTACACTAAAAAGTACAAAATGTTACTGAAAGAAATTTAAGAAGACAAATAAATGCAAGACATCCTGTGTTCATGGATTAGAAGACATCGTATTGTTAAAATATCAATACTACCCAAAGTGATCTATGGATTCAATGCAATCCCTATCGACATCACAATGATTTTCTTGCAGAAATCAAAATCTATCCTAAAATTCATATGGAAACTCAAAGGACCCAATTAGCCAAAACAATCTTGAAAAAGAACAAAGTTTGAAATCTCCCACATCCTGATTTCAAAGCTTAATACAATGCTACAGTAATCAAAACAGTGGTACTGGCAGAATAACAGACATGTAGACAAATAGAATTGGTAGTCTAAAAACAAATCCTGGCATAAATGGTCAAATGCTTTTCAACAGGGTGCAAAGACTGTTCAGTGAGGAAAGTACAGTCTTTTCAACAAATGTTGTTGGGAAAACTGGATATCCACACAGGAAAGAATGAAGTTATACCCTTACATTATACCATAAACAAAAATTAACTCAAAATGGATGAAAGATAAAATTATAAGAGCTAAAAGCATGAAACTCTTAGCAGAAGACACAGGGACAAGCCTCATAATATTGGATGTCACAATGATTTCTTGGATATGACACTAGAAGAAAAGGAAACAAAAGAAAATAACATAAATTGTACTACATCAAAATGAAAGACTTTTGTGCATCAGAGGATGTAGCAATGGAATGAAAAGGGAAAATATTTTCAAATCATATATCTGATAAGAGATTAATATCTAGAAAATATAAAGAACTCCCACAACTCAGCAAGAACAACAACAGAAAACAACCCAATTCAAAAATGGGCAAAGGACTTAGACATTTCTCCAAAGAAGACATACAAGTAGTAATAAACACATGAAAGATTTTAAGTGTGTTTTGGATAAAGAGCCAAGAGTGTGACTGGATACCTTTTGCTAAAGACATTTAATGTGTGATTAATAAATCCAATCAATCCTCTAAGCCCAATCAAGGAAAAATATATAGTATCCAGAAAGGATCTGTGGATAATCCTCATCTGATGGCATGGATCCCTTTGACACACACAGGAGACCCACAAGGTTTTTTTAGAAGAACGTTATACCACTAAAAACACTGCCAGCTTGACCTGAAGAAAACAAAAAAAGGGAAAAATGAAAGAAAGCTATCAGACATCTAGGATTCTACAGGCAGTAAAAAGGATGATAGAGTTACTTGACTGTTAACATCTGACATCCTTTAAGATAAAAGAAGAAAGACTCAGAGGGCAGAGCCATGGATACAGAGGAGGAGGCCAGTAGAGCAGTGATGCCTTTGTGGCCCAGACAATAAAGCATCAAGCCACAGAGGGTAATTCTCAGGCCTTGAAACCCTGCCAGGTTTCTGTTTTTTGTTTTTTGAGGCAGAATCTCACTCTGTCGCCCAGGCTGAAGTGCAGTGGTGTGATTTTGGCTCAGTGCAACCTCCACCTCCCAGGTTCAAACAATTCTCCTGCCTCAGCCTCCCGAGTAGCTAGGATTACAGGTGCCTGCCACCATGCCTGGCTAATTTTTGTGTTTTTAGTAGAGACAGGGTTTCACCGTGTTGGCCAGGCCGGTCTAAAATTCCAGACCTCAAGTGATCCACCTGCCTCGGCCTCCCAAAGTGCTGGGATTATAAGTGTGAGCCACCACGCCCAGCAAAACCCTGCTAGATTTCAAACATGCTTGAATCAGTGACTGCTTTTATTATTTCATATTCTCCCCTTCAGAATGGGGATGTGTATTCTATACCTGTCCTGCCAATGAATTTTGGAAGCAGGTTGCTTGTTTTCCGGTTTTACAAGTCCACAGATGGAAAGGAATTTTGCCCCTACATGGTTCATAGATCAGATTTCACTCATACCTGATTTAGATGATATTTGGGACTTTTTGAGTTGATGGTATTTAGACAGCATATTTGACTTACAGTTGATGCTGGACTGCATTAACTTTTGGATATGGTGGGATGGGGTGAATGTATTTTTCACATTAGATGGATAGGAATTTTCAGGGACCAGAGGGTACAATGTAGGAGGTTGAAGAGTGGCCTCCAAAAGATATGTCACCTGGAACTTCAGAATGGGACTTTATTTGGAATAAATGTCTTTGCAGATATTAATGTAGGGCTCTAGATATGAAATTACCCTGGATTAGGGTGAACTATAAATCCAGTGAGTGACTTTGAAAGGGAAAGAAGACACTGAAAAAAAGACAATGTGAAGATGGAGGCAGAGATACCAGTTATGCTGCCACAAGCTAAAAATCATCAGCAGCAACCAGAAGCTGGAAGAGGCAAGGAAAAATTCTCCGCTAGAGCCTTTGGACAGAGCATGGCCCTACTGGCATCTTGATTCTGGATTTCTGACCTCCAGAACTGTAAGAAAAGAAATCTGTGCAGTTTTAAACTACCTAGTTTGTGGTACTTTATTATGGCAGCTCTAGGAAACTACTAAGTCAATACAGACACGATTCCCCACATGCACATGTGCGTGCACACACACAATGTTATTTTTCTGAAAATGTTTTTAGCTTTTTCTTCTAAATTACCATCTTATCTCAACGACTGCAGTTATGTTTTTGTAGTTATTATAGTTGGATAGCTTTTTATAGATTTTGGGGGGCCACTGCAATTGCTTTTTATTTTTTACTTTGAAATTATTATTACTACTATTTTGGAGACAGGGTCTTGCTCTGTCACCCAGGCTGAAGTGCAGTGGTGCAATCTCGGCTCAGTGCAACCTCTGTTTCCTGGGTTCAAGCGATTCTCCTGCCCCAGCCTCCAGAGTAGCTGGGACTACAGGCATGTATCACCATACCTGGCTAATTTTTGTAGTTTTAGTAGAGACAAGGTTTCACCATTTTGATCAGGCTGGTCTTGAACACCTGACAAGTGATCTGTCTGCCTCAGCCTGCCAAAGTGCTGGGATTACAGGCTTGAGCCACCGTGCCCGGCTGCAATAGCTTTTTATAACGATTTGAGATTGATATCACTTTCCCTTCTCTCTACTGATTTCTTTATATATGAAGACTATTAATCCTATGTCCATCATATATGTGGGCAAGTTTTTCTTCCCAGGTTTTCATGCATTCTTTAATGCTATTTTTCCCCAAATGGGTTGTTTTTAAATTTGAATAGATTTGTATGGCTAAGAAAGTAATAATGTTCTCTGCATAAAAAATATCTTACTTGATGGACTAGGGACATAGAATATTAGCCTCCAGGTTTAACAGGGTTAGAGAGCACTCCCCACCTTGGAAGCCACATGGCCCTCTGGAGCACAGCTCTGTCCTAAGGCTGGGTCCAAGATTTGAGACTCTACTCTAGGATTTCCCAGGAGTTACTCATTCTCTCTGAATATTCCTTTCCTTTTCCGTAGAACAGAGATTATAATGCCTGACTCAAATGGATTTTGCAGGGATTTGACATAACAAGCAACATCATTCTTTATTGTGAAAAGAAACAGAGATCCTGGGGGTGACAGGGGTGGACAAGTGCACAGAACTGGCCCCTTTGGAAGGATGAGAGTCAACCCTGTGAGTTGGGCTTTGGTTTCTTAGCCCGAGCCAGATCTCCTGGTTCAGTCACAGGGAAATACATCTATTGGAATAAAAATACAGGGAAGATGATGAGGCTGAAGATTATGACACTTAAGGATTTCCTCTTAGGGCTTTGTTTTCAGAATCCTAGGTCAGTCTATGTGAGGGCCTTCTCTGGGATCTTGCCCTTGGCCGAGAGGAAGTGCAGGAGGGAGCTGGGAGATCAGCAGAGCCGGAAGTCCAAAGTTCCATCCCCAGGTCACCCAACCTCTGCTCACTTGGCCTGAATTCCTAGACCTCACCTTGGGCCGTGCAAGAACATGAGGAGCTTGGACGTAGTCACACTGGTTGTTATGAAGGCAGCTGTGGTGGGGGAAGGACAGATAACATCCATTAGGACCCAAGTGGAGACACTCTGACAATACAATGCCATTTCTTAATCTATGCAACAGAAACATGTCTGTGTTTTCTGGAATTTATTGCAGCAGAAGGAACCCTGTGAAAAGCCAAATGTCTACCAACCCTGAAAAGCCAAATGTCTACCAACAAAGGAACAGGATCCACGGAACTGTGAAAGGAAAATAAATCTTGGGATCCCAAAATCACTAAGCTAAAGGGAAAAGTCAAGCTGGGAACTGGGTCATGCAAACCTGCCTCCTCTTTCGGTTCCTAAATAAGATGGCTATAAGATGAAAAGCTACACGCCTCCCCCATATTTTGTCTGCAAGGAAATTTCTCGTGAGCTGCAAGATCTTTACCGTAAGGTGTTTCTATTAAAATTTCACCACGACAATGTAAATTGATAGCTTATCTTTACAGGTACAGTCACCCCCTGTCCACCAGACACAAATGCATATCTGATTGTTCCCTGGCCCCATTTTGTCTACGTCATCTTTATATAAAAAAATGCAGATTCACTGAGCCAGACAAAGGCATGAGTAACTATCTTTCCCTACCCTCCCCCTTACATGAAAATTGTGTACTTCTCAATATCCTACCCTTTCCCCTTTAAATCCAGAGTCCTCAAAATCATCTTTGAAAGGCATAGACCTGTCTCCCTGGCACATGTCCTTAACTTTGGCAAATAAACCTCCTAAAATGATTGAGACTTGTCTCGTCATTTTTCTCAATTGACAGAATTCAGAGAAGTACTGTATACCTGTTCAAAATAACTAGGTAGCTGAATATATACCAAAAGGGAAATGTACAGTTTGATACTGAGTGAAATAAAGAAGCAAAGCCAAAGATCTGCAAGTTCCCATTATTCATTCCCCTGCTCCTCCCAGCGCATACCAATCACTGATCACCATACACACCCAGCACTCACTTCTTTTTTTTTTTTTTTTGAGACGGAGTCTTGCTCTGTTGCCCAGGCTGGAGTGCAGTGGCACAATCTCAGCTCACTGCAAGCTCCACCTCCTGGGTTCACGCCATTCTCCTGCCTCAGCCTCCCAAGTAGCTGGGACTACAGGCGCCCGCCACCACGCCCGGCTAATTTTTTTTTCTATTTTCAGTAGAGACGGGGTTTCACCGTGTTAGCCAGGATGGTCTCGATCTCCTGACCTCGTGATTCGCCCACCTCGGCCTCCCAAAGTGCTGGGATTACAGGCGTGAGCCACCACGCCCGGCCTAGCACTCACTTCTGAGACAACTGGTAGTTCATCCCCGACTGGACAGAGAAAACCTGCACCATTTTCTGCTGCTCCTGGGAGAAGGCAGGCACGCTGGAGAAGGCTGTGGGCACTAGGGTGAATAAGGCACTCTGGGTCCCTTGGTGGCTGGTATCCCACACAAAGAGCTTGTCATTCACGATGCACAGACTGGAGGAAAAATGGGCCATCAGGTAGCTGGAGAGAAGGACATCTCCCCACCCCCTACAAGAATCTTTTCCTACTGTTCAGAAACCTGATTTCTTCGATACCTCTACTGTGCCTGCCTCCTAGCTTTTTGGCTGGTACCCTCTAACCCTCCCACAGAGCCCACCTTTGGAGAGACTGCCTATATGCTTCACCAGTTTTGCAGGTTTACCTACAACCCAAGGATGGTTTTACACTCACATTTGCCCTTTACAATAGCCCAAGGGAATAGACAGTGTAATCACCAGTTTCAAAGGAAGATTCTGAATTACAAAAAGGTCATATGCCTCGACCAAAGTCACAGTGAGTATCGCATCAGGAAAGAATTCATACTCTGACTCCAGAGCCCACACATTTTTAAAAATTTTTTTCAATACAGGGTCTCACTCAGGCTGGAGTGCAGTGATGTGATCTAGGCTCACTGCAGCCTCAACCTCCTGGGGTCAAGACCCTTCCACCTCAACCTCCTGAATGGCAGGATGATAGATGCACACCACCACATCCAGCTAATTTTTAGTGTTTTTGTAGAGATAGGGTCTCACTGTGTTGCCTAGGCTGGTCTCAAACTCTCGGGCTCAAGCAATCCTCCCACCTTCAGCTTCCTAAAATACTGGAATTACAGGCATGAGCCACTGCTCCTGGCCCATACTCTTAACTATTACACTAGACTGTTGGTTTTTTACAACATTGAGAACACCCCGAGGACTGCACCACCACATTCCCACACCACTGGCCCCAGGCCGGGATGGGTGCTCCCACCCACAACAAAGCACTAACCTGGAACTGCTGCCAGGGGTAGCGATGAAGGTCCGAGTGAAGGCAAGAACAGAACCCTGAGACTGTCCTTCCACTTCAAAGACAACAAACAACATTGCCTTAGAGTTGCACAGGCTTTACATGTTCACACGGTGTTCCCCAATCAGTCTTGCTTGACACTCACACAGAAGGGGGCCAGGCCAGGATAATTGCTCACTTGGAGTCAGGCGGATGTGGTAGGAATGGGGAGGGCAACAACAGGAATAATCCGCTCCCAGTGATAGGGCCCCTATCATGTGTGGGGCCCTGTGAAAACCACAAGTTCACTTGATTCCTATATCACAGTAGCCCAAGAGATGGGTTATTATTAGCCCTATTGTGCAAATGAGGAAAGTGAAGGGTTAAGTAACTAGCACAAGTTCACAGCGTAAGGACCTGGGATGAGAGCTGTCAGACTCCACAGTCTGTGACCTTAATGCAAGCCTGAGCTGTGCAGGGTAGACAGGCGTGGACCTAGGTCAGATCAGGGTGGTTTATGGGCAGAGTTGGGGTGGGAAAACACAGAGGGAACAAGAGGAAGGAAAGGAACGAAATCAGGGAAGCTGGGGGAGTTCTGAGAGGGAGCCCAGCCAGGGGGAGGGAGCAGTGGGGGATCTGGGGAAGGGACTCTACAGACACTCACCTTCCTTGAAAACCCCATTGACAGAAAAGCAGAGCATCCATTCCTGAAAGGGAAGAGCTCAGGTGCTCAGGATCCTCCTTAACCTCCTACCCACCTCTGGCTCTCTGGGCCTGCCCGAGGGAGGAAGCAGGTACTCACCGTCTGGCACCACATGTCCACCAGGAAGGAGCTGAGGTCATGCTGAGTTTTGGGCAACGCACTGAGGGAGTCCACAATGTCACGTTTTGTGTGCCTCAGCAGTTCCCCCTTCAGGTCTGTAGAGGAGAAGAGAAGCAAGGATTTGGGGGGCTGCCACACTTCGGTTGTGTGATTGTTCCTGTCACACCCGCTTACCCTGCCCAGTCTTCTCCATCACACACTTACAGGGGTCCTTGAGAATTTTTATATTCCTGCTATCCTTGAAGTACTTGCACAAGCTGCTCCTAGGAGAAAAAGAGGAGCAGGAGTGGGTGGTCCAGCCAGCGAGGGCATTTCCAGGAGTTGGTGTCTTTCTGCAGGGGAGTCACACGGCCCCAGACCAGGGTCTGAGCTATAATACTCACGGGGCTGAGTCCTCGGCGTCGAAGGGAATAGCCAAGGAGAAGCAGGCCTCATCGTGGTAAGCACCGAGGAGACCCTGTCGATCTCCAGAGTCATAGATCAAGTAATACCTGTTGGGGACCGATGAGAATAGGCTATCTCTGTGGCCTGGGTGCCAAATGAGACTTAAAAGTCTCACTGTGGGCAGACTTGTACTTGGGTAACCTCATCTGACCTAACCCTCTCTTGCCTCAGATTCCCAGGGATACTTACTGCTGCAGGAATTGCAGGACCAGATTCTTCAACATCTCAGATCCAAAGAAGCTTCCCTGGAATAAAGAGTCCCCAGGACCACAGATGGTACCCCCCCTTTCTCATGCACCACCCTGCTGGATCCTCTCTTCTCACCTTACAGGTTGGTAACGTCTTGTGGGCTTCAGTACCACACAGAGTTGGTCTGGGTGACTGCTGGCCATCCTGGGGAAGGCAAGAGGAAGTCAATAGTGCAAAGTAGGGAGGTGGCACTGGATAATTAGGGAAAAGGAAAGACCCAGGAGAGGGTGAGATCAGAAATCAGGTGTGAAAGCGTTCTGGAAATTACATGGGCAAGATTACTACAGTCAGCATTGCCGCCACCTGAAGGCTGTTGTGTGAACTTGTGTGAAGAAGCTCCACAGGCTCTGCCAAGTTCCCACATGGGACTGTATCACCTTTCCCCCTCCCTTGAGGTTTAAGGGTTAGATCCATAAATGTAACTGGGACAATATCTAAAGGGGTTTGGGGCAGTTGGGGGCAGCATCAATCCCAATTAGGAAAGTCAATGATCAAGGAATACGCTTACCAGGCATAATAATTTGGGGAACAATTCCAGGATGGAGCTGCCGAAAATCAAAACAAAATGGACAACGGTAAGTGAAACTGTGGAGCTGTCCTCCTCATGGGAGCAATCACACCTACATCAGAGACACAGTGCAGTGTGTCCACCTACACTCCGGAGTCCCTGCCCCTGCAGCCCTGGGCAGCATTGAGAGCCCAGGCTTCAGGACTTTCTTCCCCTCCCTCCATCCCTCTCTCACTTTTGTCCAGGTCCCCAATGAAGGCTCCACAGGAAGCAGGAAATCGGGTGGGAGCCCAGGGCTCTGCTACCTCACTGGGTGTCCATCAATCTGCCTGGCCTGGCCCTGTCCAAGACCAGGTCAGCTCTTAGGGACGGCTCAGGATGCTGGGACAGGGAGGGTGGTGATGCAGGCTCAGGAGGCAGGAAGGGGAAGACAGAGGGATGATGGCAGAAACGGGGTGAAGGTAGGGGAGGGAGAGACAGGTGAGACATAGGAGAGGAGAGACAAGTGAGAAACAGGATGCAAAGCAAAGGGAAGGGAAAGATGCTGTACCATGGTGATGGAGTTCAAGGAGGAAGAGAGAAGAAAAGGGCGCCCCTGCTGCAGCCCTTTCCCTCACCGCCCCCGGCTGGTCCTGGGGACCGAGGCAGGTAAGGAAAACATGCACCTGTTGGGCTGGGGCCCACTGGATGCAGCTGGAGCCTTTCTCACCTGTGTGAGCTCAGTCTGAGCTGGGCATGGGAAATGGAGGAGTGAAGGGTCAGGCCCTAGCTCAGCATGGGGTTCAGAGTCTGGGGACCCCCTCTCCCGACCACTGCATTCTCTTGTGATGGTCCCTGACACCTGTGCCCCTCTGTGCTGACGCCTTGACCGAAGAATGCTACCTGTCTTGGGCTATACCCAGGACTCCTCTGAGGGCCCAGGCAAGACAATGTGAGTTGTGGAGGGAAGGAGAGGCAGCGCCCCGAGACGCCTGTCTCCTCAACCTCCTCTGCCCTCTGCCATCCACTCCTGCCTCGGGAAGGTGGCCCACTTTTGGTCCTCTGACTCAGGAAACCCAGGTTTCTCCCCGAGGAGGGCCCAGCTCCTGGCATTGGGCCAGAGAAGAGATGGCATGACAGCAGCCACCCAGGGCCTCAGCCCTCAGTATGGGGCAGGGAAGCCCCCATGCCAGCTCAGGACGGGTGGGAGAACCTATTTGGAGCAAGAGAAGGAGAATCCCCTTCAGGACAGGGGAGGGAAACCGTGTCTCAGCATGGAGGCAGGAAGGCCTGTCTCAGCATGAAGACCTGGGCTGGAGGACTCTTCTGGGTCCAGGGCACCAGCACCTGAATACTGCTGGTCCTGGGGAGGTGGGGAAGTCCCGCTTCCTGGTGCACACTCACAGAGGGCACACTGAAGGAGGCTGGGTGGAGACAGGCGGGAAACGCATCCCAGAGCAGGTGAAAAGGGCAGCATGTCAGAGGAAGGAAAGGAGACCTCTAAGCACAGATGAGTGAGTGACACAGAGAGAGGAGTGGGGCGAGGGGGAAGGAGAGGGTCTGTGGTCCTCCCAGAAGACCAGTGCTGCCTCCTCCTGCAGAAGGGCACTATCAAGCACAGGTCAGGGCCCCAGGCAGTGACAGAGGGTACGACTGACTTTATGTTGCTGGAGTTATCCGAGAAGGTGGTGCACACTGGGCTTCTGTCCGCACACTTCTCTCCTGGCTCTGTCCCTTTCCATTTGTCCATCCCCACTGCAGACATCACCTGCAATTATGCAGAAGAACCACATAGACCCAGGAAAGAGCAGCCGGAGGGCCCTGCACCCTCAGTCTCCTCCCTTGCCAACAAATCCACTTCCTTGCCTCTTGTCACTACCCTAATGAACCCTCCTCTCCCTTTTTCTTCAAAAAACGATCTGAGTATTACACCTCATTTTATTTTTCAAGAAATTCAGCTTGTTAATGTCGGGGGCCTTTGGCATAATGTCAAGCTTCTGGTAGGCTTTGCTGCTGTTTGGGTTCAAGGGCAAAAGCTATGATGAGGCATGAATTAAGAATTAAGAGTGAAGGCCCCCAACAGGGGATATCTTAGACCAATTAGCCTCCTAGCTAATCTCTTCCACTTTCACCCTCAATCACAGCATGAGCCTAAGGCCTCACCATAGGTATGTTCTCTTCATGGACATGCAGGGAGGCAGCCATGCACTTTCCAGGATTCGACGCCATTTTAGTATCACGGGTCATCATGTCTCCAGAAAGCAGAGAGGAGAAAATCAGAAGTCTGAGAGGGACCTGCCTGGTACAGCATCAGCACTAACTCCTCCCCAGGTTGCCAACTCTAAGTCTCCATCTCACACAGACACCTCTGCCCTCATCTGCCATAGAATTACTGTTATCAGCCATACCTGGGTAAAAGGGGAGTCTCTGGATATCAAGAGCTTCCTGGGAGACATCACACTGTTGGTTCATGGCCAGCTGCAGAGTATAGAGATGGTTTTCAGAGGCTCTGAAGTTGAGGTGGTGAAGGGGACAATAGGTGGGGAAGAAGCGGTGGGTCTGGCTTTGTGTGAACAACTTGCCATGAGTCTGTATTACCTTTATCTTCTCCACCTTTTCTGACTTCAGCTCCTTCTGCGCAAAGTGGGGTATACCAGCAGGGTTGACAAAGATTGATATCTGCAGAGAACGCAAGAGGGGCTGAGTAAGCACTAGGAACTTTGAGCCCCAAGATCAAGTAAGACCTCACACTTGCTCTGCCCTCTTGCTCAATGCTAGCCTTGGTCATTCACTTGACACACACCTTTTCATTATCCTCATCCCAAATCTTGCCACTGACATTCTTCAGTGCATAGGCGATGCTGGCATTCTCCACAAAGAAGCTGGCATGCATGTTTTCATAGTGAAACTATAGGGAGAGTTGCAAGAGAAATAAAATATGAGGCCAGAGTCTCTGCTCATCCAGTCCCCAACCTGTCCTGTTTTTTCTCGTCTGCCTCATGGTCCTTTCTTACTTCAACTGGGATGAAGGGTACACTGCATTCATTCCGAATCAAATTCAGCAGCCACTTCTCATTGTATTTTATGCCGAAGGGAACCTATGAGTGAAAGAAAGAATGAGTGAGGAAAGGAGACTGACATAATGGAATTAAACATTAAAATTGGACCCAAATATGTTCCTTTCAGGCTTTAAAATAGTTGAAGATAGGACAACATCCATTATTGCTAACTTATGTATTTCATTATTATGTCATTCATCATTTCTAATATCTATTATTTCTAAGCACACATGGATTTCCTAAATACCCTTTCTTACTATTCAGTTTTCTTAAAATAATCAATTTAAGATGTTTAATATGAGTTTTCTTTTATAAAGTCCCACAAGAGTTTACCTAAGGCAGACCAGGCCTGCCCCTTTGACAAGGACCCCACTAATTCAACCCCTCACACCCTTAGTTTGAGCCAAACTGAAGCATCCGGTGTGGAGATACTCTATCTCCTTAACATTCGTTTCCTCCTTTGATTGTAAATGACCTCTTCCGTTCTCTCTGCAGTCAGTCTGTTCCCTTTACATTGCTTCTCTGAATTTACCCTTAGATGATCTAGGATGTTAACTCCTAGTAATAAAGGACAGATTACAAACTTTCCTGCCCTTACAAAAGGATCTAGTGTCTACACAAATCCAACACAGTTACCCCTGTTCTCCTTCGGAACGTTAGATCCATTTTGCCAGGACACTCACTGTGATCTTGAACCAGCTCCCTAAGGTCCCATCCGGCATGTTCCCCTCCATTCTTTTCTCTGGAGGTTTTTGCTCTCTCTCCATGTTAACATGGGTTTGGTCTTGTTTACGAAAACTGCCTTTCCGATTATAGGGTGAAATAGCATAGGGAGTGCTGTGAGCAAATGGAGAAAAGGTAGTTCACATATGCTCTGAAAGTCTTTTACACACATTTGATCCACTGATACCAGGGCTACAATGAAGTTTGCTCAACCATTAATCGAGTTCTGTCATTCTCTCTCTGTCAAGTTGGAAAGAATGACATATTCAGCTACATGGTTATGTATTTCATCGGCTGGTACATTCCAGCCATGCTGACTGGTCACTTACTATCTTACTGAAGAGTCCATGTGGGCACCATGCATTGCTGCTTCTCCATCTTGCTGCTGCTGGGATGAAGAATGTATGCCAGGATTGACTTTTTCAGACCTACTGCTCAATCTCCTTTGGTAAATATCCGAACATCTTGCTCTTCTTTGAGCAACTTGATCAGTGTGACCTTAAATTGTGAACAGCACATCAACACTTAGAATACCAGAAAAAAATCTTGGGAAAATATAATGGGATAATGAAAAAATTCACTGATGTTTGTTTGTTTATTTATTTATTTATTTATTTTTTAGAGTCAAGATCTGGCTCTATTGCCAGACTGTAGTGCAAGTGGCATGATCACCGCTCACTGTGGCCTTGTCCTCTATGGCTCAAGAGATCCTCCCACCTCAGCCTCCCAGGTAGCTGGGACTACAGGCACATGTTTTTTTTTTTTTTTTTAGAAATGGGGTCTTCCTGTGTTGCCCAGGCTGGTGATTTTTTATAATCTAGAAAGAAATATATCACAGTGCCAAAAAAGTTGAAAGACTTCACTGTGGTTTCACCTCCTGGGAGATGAGAGTTGGGGAACATTCACAGCCAAGGAAAAAACAAGCACAGCAGAAAGGGTTTGGGTTTGGGTGATGCTGATCTATGATGATAGTCCTTGCTCTGCCCTTTTCATTCTGGGTAACCTGGAACAAATTGCTTATCATTTCTAACCCTCAATTCCCACCACTACTTGGAGAATAATAAAATCTACCCTAAAAGCTTGGTATTATGGCTCAAGGGTCAAAGGCAAGTTCCCTGCCTCAAAGAAGAATCAGATAAATGAAAACATTGCTGAAGAAAATATCCAGAATGAATCTTGGAGAGACATACTTATGGAAATTAATTACCAGAAGAGTGAAAGAGAGAATTTAAAAAGAGTGGTAAGCGTGGCCAGGCACGTTGGCTCTTGCCTGTAATACCAGTACATTGGGAGGCCAAGGTGGGTGAATCATGAGGTCAGGAGATCGAGACCATCTTGGCTAACATGGTGAAACACTGTCTCTACTAAAAATACAAAAAATTAGCCGGGCTTGATGGCGGGCACCTGTAGTCCTAGCTACTTGGGAGGCTGAGGCAGGAGAATGGAGTGAGCCCAGGAGGCGGAGCTTGCAGTGAGCCAAGATCGCACCACTGCACTCCAGCCTGGGGGACAAAGCGAGACTCTGTCTCAAAAAAAACCCAAAAAACAAAAACAAAAAACAAAAACAAAAAACATGTGGTAAGCATATCTAACACTACTTCTCCACTGTTCCCTCTCCTTATTTCTGGGACTCAAATTCCAGACCTCCAGGCCAGGCTGGTCTCAAATTCCAGACCTCAAGTGATCTGCCCACCTTGGCCTCCCAAACTGCTGGGATTACAGGCTTCAGCCACTGTGCCCGGCCTCTACAAAATTATTATTTTTTTTAATTAGCCAGCCGGCGGTGGCTCATGCCTGTAATCCCAGCACTTTGGGAGGCCAAGATGGGTGGATCACGAGGTTAGGAGATCGAGACCATCCTGGCTAACACAGTGAAACCCCATCTCTACTAAAAATACAAAAAAATTAGCCAGGCGTGGTGGTGGGCACCTGTAGTCCCAGCTACTAGGGAGGCTAAGGCAAGAAAATGGTGTGAACCCAGGAGGCGGAGCTTGCAGTGAGCCAAGATTACACCACTGCACTCCAGCCTGGGCAATAGAGGGAGACTCCATCTCAAAAAAAAAAAAAAGAAAAAAAATTAGCCAGGTGTGGTGGCATATGCCTATAGTCCCAGCTACTTGGGAGGCTGAGGCAGGAGGATCATGTGAGCCCAGGAGGTCAAGGCTGCAGTGGGCCATGATCAAGCCACTGCACTCCTGCCTGGAAGGCAGAGCAAGACCCTGTCTCAAAAAATAATAGGAGGAAATGTGTACTTTAAGAAAAAACATTTCTAAAGAAAAGACATACATTCCATAATGATGTTAATGTAACAAAAATTGGGCAAAAATGTGACCAACCGGCCGGGCACAGTGGCTCATGCCTGTAATCCCAGGTGGGTGAATTACCTGAGGTCAGGAGTTTGAGATCAGCCTGAACAACATGGTGAAACCCCATCTCTACTAAAAATACAAAAATTAGCCACGTGTGTTAGTACGCTCCTGTAATCCCAGCTACTCGGGAGACTGAGGCAGGAGAATTGCTGGAAACCGGGAGGCAGAGGTTGCAGTGAGCTGAGATCGTGTCATTGCACTACAGCCTGGGTGACAAGAGTAAGACTCCATCTCAAAAGAAAAAATAACAAAACTAATTTACACTGAATTGTGATAGGCCAAAGATATATATTGTAATCCTAAGGATAAACACTACAACAATGGCAGAACATTTCACTTTCTAGCCAAATGAGGTAAAATTTTAATAGTTAAAACTATTAATCATTTCAAAGGAGAGGTGTCGAAAAGAACTTAAAACAGGCAAAAATAAATATATAGTAATATGGTCTATTTAAACCAAATCATACCTATATTTTCATTAAAAGAAATTAGACTTAAGTATTCCAAATTAAAAGGCCGAGAGTATCACACTACATGAAAGATTCCATCAAATTATCCTGAAAAGAAACATGTAAAATTTAATAATATAGAATATTTGAAAATAAGAAAAATGGCATGATGCATACCATTTACACACTGACCGACTAAAAGCTTATATAACCATATTAATAAGAGAAAATATATACTTTAAGAAATACTGGCCGGGCGCAGTGGCTCACGCCTGTAATCCCAGCACTTTGGGAGGCCGAGGCGGGCGGATCACGAGGTCAGGAGATCGAGACCATCCTGGCTAACACGGTGAAACCCCGTCTCTACTAAAAATACAAAAAACTAGCCGGGCGTGGTGGCGGCGCCTGTAGTCCCAGCTACTTGGGAGGCTGAGGCAGGAGAATGGCGGGAACCCGGGAGGCGGAGCTTGCAGTGAGCCGAGATCGGGCCACTGCACTCCAGCCTGGGTGAAGGAGCCAGACCCCGTCTCAAAACAAACAAAAAAAAAGAAATACTAGAGAAAAGAACTCATAATGATAAAGGTTCACATCAACAAGAAGATACTAAGAAAGCAGGTGCGCGCACTGCCTTCGTGGCACCTGGGCCTGAGGTGCGTGGCTCCCAGGCCCTCGCCAGCTCCAGGTGTGTGAGGAGGACTTCAGAAACCCGAAGGTCTCAGCGTCAAATCAAATGTCAGGAGTTAAGGCAGACTCACAGGATTTTATTCCTGGTAGCATCAGGCAGCCCTGTCTTCCTAATGTACTTCTGGAATCAGAGCAAAGCCATCCTTTTTGCAGTTATTCAGAGCGTCAGGAGAAAAATGATGTCTTCCTGTACCGATGCAGTATTTGTGCTAAGAGTTTCCGATCTCCATCTAAACTGGGAAAAGCACTACCTAATTCACGCAGGGTAGAAACTATTTGAATGCTCAGTTTGTGGCAAAACATTCAGACAGGCTCCTCACTGGAAGAGACATCAACTTACTCAATTTAAAGAATGACCACAAGAGAAAGTGTTTGCCTTGGATTTGGTTATGTAAACTGTCGCAACCACTAACAATTGTGGTCTCTGGTGATCTTATTTTTAAAGCCTGTATTATTTAAAATGCATTTTTATCAAGAGGCCTGCATTAAATTGAATGGTTTCACAAGTATTTGTCCTGCATAGTAAGTAGGTAAAATACATAGAAAATTAATACAATGTTTTAGAAACAGCCAAATTAATTTTCAGAGGCAAGAACATGACTTGATGCTATAAAGTAGGCACTTTAATATTGTAAACATATGCTTTGGCTGTACTGAAAAGTATAAATTCATGATGCTGTACGAATAATTTAGTCAAATTCATTTTTTAAAGGAATTATTCCTTAAGACATGCCATCTCTTTTTATATACACTCAAAAGACTGAGAGGCAAAAATTCGCTTTTAGCTGCAGCACATAGTCCTGCTATATTTCATTTATTTTGCATTTCATATGAAAGCATAATTTTGTCCACATGTGGCTCAAATTGCATTGGATTTTTTTTTTTTTTTGTAAATTTACAGAACTACAGAGACACTAAAGGTGAATATGGATGAGAAAATTATAGTATTTTTTCACTGGTCTTTTCAAAGCTATTTATTTTTAGGACTATGTGGTAATCTCACTTTTTCAGGTGATTAAGGTTTTTTTTTTTTCCCCAGCGAGTGCCATCTTTCACAAAATAAATTAAAAGTAGACAAGAGGCTAGGATGTATCCATATACATTTACCATGTTTACTTACCAGGAATATTTTCCAAGTGCCATAGTCTTTTTCATAATATGTATGCAGTTTTATCTTTTCAGAGGAATAATTTCAAGTCATTTATTTGCTCATTAATTATAGCAGTAGTCATAGACTTAAGACTCTATTCTAGAGATCTTCATCTCCATAAGACTTTAACATTTATTTTAGTAAACTTTTCTTTTTATGCCTCTTTAATGGAGTGGTCCTATTATTTAAGCCTGTTCTAAGTTTGATCAAATGGCAATGACTAGGTCTAGTTTTAGTTTTTATTTTTGCAAGAGTCTAATGCTACAGAATTTTATTTTGATCCTTGTTAAATTTTTATTTTAATTAGTAAGGTAGTCATTCCTGTAGAGGGATAAGATGCTTGTAGAGTTGTGGGTAACATTCCAAATAGAACTGTTATGATTTGGGAAATATTCTAAACTACAAAGGACTTATTTCATAATGACAAATTGTCATTCACATTTTCCTTTGTTTATAAAATCTTCAGGAATGACATTTTCTAGCAATAAAAGGAATTAACCATTATGTTCCTAAGCTGAAAAGAGGAACAGGTGGGTAATTATCCTACCATACTTAAATATAGTGGAAAATCCTCTGTTGAGACTGTGGATAAATGAACAATTGTAAGTTTTGCATCATAATCTGAGAACTCCCTTTTGGGGAAGGGGGAGGCAGGAGGGATAGTAGGTGGGGGTGATCTGCTTGCTTCTTTTACCACAGGTGATTTTTAAGTAACTTGGGTTTAATTTACAGAGATGAAACATGACAGTCTGAGTAACACACCCAAAGACGTAGAGGTGCGCCTGTTTATTACGTAGAGACAGCCAACAAAAACAGAGGAGAATCACATGCTTTAAAGAACACTTTCTCTTAGGTTTCCTTGGGATATGTTCCTCTAGTGCAAGCAAGATAATGGTTTACAGAATTTGCTTTATACAAAACTTTTCAAGAACTCATCTGTTACACAAAAGCAAGGAATAACTAGTTTATATTTTCAAATAATGTTCAAGGTTTTTTTCCTTAGTATGTCTGAAAGTATTGATTTTGGCATTTTTCTAAGCAATTTATGTAATTTTATTTGAAGGAAATATTTTATATACTCTTTCTCAACCTAAACAGGGAGAGTCCTAACACTGTTGTGCTTGTATGATTATGAGGTTTTATTTGCCTAAGTGATACTACTATACTTTATTTTTGACCCATGCCTTTTTAAGCTGTTTCATATTGAAAGTTGGACTATTGTAAAAATTTTGTCAAAGGTGTACTGAAGTGCTATTTGAAGTACCTATAACAAAACACAGTTGGTCCTCCATATCCATGGACTCTGTCTCTGTGGATTAAACCAATTGCAGATCAAAAATATTAAGACAAAAAAATTAAAATAATACAAATAAAAAATACAATATAACTGTTATTTAAATAGCATTTACATTCCATTAGGTATTAGTCTAGAGATAAAGTATACAGGAGGATGTGCATTGGTTATATGCAAATATGCCATTTTATGTAAGGGACTTGAGTATACTTGGATTTTTGGTATCTGTGGGTGGGCAGGCCGGGGGGATCCTGGAACCAACACCCCGTGGATACCAAGGGACAACTGTACTTATTTATCTTTATTATTATTGCAAGCTTTTTACAGAAACTTTATAGGAATGAAAATATACATGTTAAGAAGATTAGGCCAGGCACTGTGGTTCAGGCCTGTAATCCTAGCACTTTGGGAGGCCGGAGCAGGTGGATCACTTGAGGTCAGGCTAGTTCGAGACTATCCTGGCTAACATGGTGAAACCCCGTCTCTACTAAAAATACAAAAAAATTAGCCAGGCATGATGGCGGGTGCCTGTAGTCCCAGCTACTCAGGAAGCTAAGGCAGGAGAATGGCGTGAACCCGGGAGGCGGAGCTTGCAGCGAGCGGAGACCACGCCACTGCACTCCAGCCTGGGCAATACAGCAAGACTCCATCTCAAAAAAAAAAAAAGATTAAACATTAGATATTAGATGGTTTGTTGCACACTAGAACTGCTAGTATTGTTGAATCAATTACTTTGATTTTATGAAAAAATAAACACATATCTTTAAAGAGAACTAGAAGAATTTTTTGTTTGAGTGATTCCAGGCTGTAGCACGATTATTTACTGAAGTAGTTTGATTGGCTGGCTAACTTAGTAGAATTATTGTTTCTTGTTTTGTACTGCAATAAGGCTTATAATTGTAAGATAAAAATGTATGTATGCTTAAGGGAAGTAGGTGGTGGTTAAAATTATTGAAAAATTTTCAGAATACTTTAAAAATAAAGTTTCAAGTTATACAAAAAAAAAAAAGAAAGTAATTCTAAATTTGTATGCATGTCTTAACACGGACCAATCTATGTTTAGATACGAAGCAAAAACGGATCTAAGTAAATAAATAAATAAATAAAATCACAATGACTGTGGGAATTTAACACACCTCTCTGAGTAACAGATAAAACTAGCAGACAAAAATTCAGCTACATAGCGAAGATTTAAATGACATGAGTAATAAGTTTGCTTAAATGACATAGAACACTGCACAGAAAAGCTACACATGGAACATTCCAGAATAAGTCATACGCTGGGCCGTAAAGCAAGCCTTGAGAGATTTCTGGGGCGGGGGTGGGGGGTAATACAATCTACCTTGAATGGTTAGTGTGAAGATTAAAGATGTATTATTCCCTGCCCCACTACCACCTCTAGGTGTACAACCAAGGAATGTTAATTTTTACCAACCCCTGCCTCAGGAGACCATCCTCATACCTCAAACCCTGGCCCTGAGAAGACCACAAGACTCAGGCCTGGGCCCTTGCCACTGCCCACCCCCATCTAAAGGGAGATTGGCTGTGTGTCATGTGGGTTAGGGTAAGGTGGGGAAGGAGGCTCAGTCCCTTTTGCCCTGTGGAGACCTGAGACTCCAGCCTCATGCTGGCCAACTCACCCATGGTGTGTCCTGAAGGCAGTGACATTTTACCAATGTCCTTACAGGGCTCTCTTGAGGAGAATCCGTGTGGCCTGGGGACGGGAGTTTGGAGAAGATTGAGGAGGGCTGCTGAGGAAGGCGAGAGCAAGTCCCAAGCCTTGCTTACAGGAAGTTCCTTCCCCAAGCAGAGAGAGGAGTGTCCTAGGAGTCAGAGGAGAATTAACTTCCTGTTCTTACCACCCCCGAAAGTTTGCTGCCAGCCTAACACCCAGGGAGATGTTTCTAATGTAGCCACTCCTGCAAAGGTGGTTAGCAACAATCACAATCATGAGGCCTAGGACCCAGATACTTACTGAAACAAACACGGAGAACTCAGCTTGCTGGTCATCTCCAGTGCATTACATTGTATTCATTTACTCTGCAGACTCAGAGAACTCTGAGTGCCTATCTTAGCCCAAGCTCTGTACTTGCTACATTACTTTTTTCTCCATGTATTCCTCACAAGGGGACTCTGAACTCAGAATCACCAGCTCCGTGAAGGTGCTAAGGCTTAATAAGCTATAGGAACTTGTCTGGAATGATTCAGATGTGACCTGGAGAAACAAAGTGGAAATGAGAACCATGGAATGGTGGGTGACCCCCTCTATGCACAGCTTTTCTAAACTCTTATAATATTTGTGGTTTACTTAAGTTAGGGCAAAGTAAGAGAATGTTCTGAAAATACTCGTGTGACTGGAATTAACTAAAGCCCATCCTAGAGAGAGAATACAAAAAAAAAAAAAAAAAAGGACCAGGAAAATATAAAGTCAAAGTTCAGTGTGTCACTGTAATGAAAGTAGAAAAGAATCAAGTACTTTCTTAAAGACAAAATAAAATATAGTCAATGTAGATGGATACTCCTAATGATTAGAGCCAGAAATGTAGCTCTTAAAGTCTCAGGCCAGCGAGAGGGAATAAACTAGGAGCCTCTCTGTGTGCCAGGGCATCAGCCAGAATTTTCTGGAATTTTTCACCACTTTATTACAGTAGGTAGCTAGTCAGGCATAAGTGGGGCAGGAATGTCAGGTGACCATCAGGTGATGGTTCAGCAGTTGTCACACTGCCTCTCTGAAATGATAATTGATCTCAGCCAGCACCAGGAAGAGGCAGTTTCCCAATAGACAAAAACACCTGAAATGGGTAATTGGCAGCTTCCAGTAAGATCTCAAGAACTGACCGAGTGGACTCAAGCATTCCTTTCTCTTTTTTTCTTTCCTGCTCTAAAGCTTTGAAGTAAACTTCCAGTCCTGCTCTGAAACTTCTCTCGGTCTCCTTTTCTGCCTTATGTACCTCAGTCGAATTCTTTCTTCTGAGGAGGCAAGAATTGAGATTGCTGCAGACCCATATATATTTGCCACCAGTAACTTGAATATTTACCACCACTAACATATTTTGGTGCTATGTGACTCAGATACCTTCTGCCAGTAACACGTTGTCTGAAGTTCCTTCCTAGGGCTCAGTGCCCTGAGAGAGAAAGTCCAGCCCCTGAGTAAGCTGAAGAGATACCTGCATACGACAGGGTGTGAACATTTGGGGTGAAAGAAGTGTAAGACCGAAAAAGCACACACCTACACAAACTGTGAAGTCGTGAGTTTAAATCTGTATTGTTTTTGTTTTTGTTTTTGAGACAGAGTCTCGCCCTGTCGCCCAGGCTGGAGTGCAGTGGTGTGATCTAAGCTCACTGCAACTTTTACCTCCTGGGTTCAAGCGATTCTCCTGCCTCAGCCTCCAAAGTAGCTGGGATTACAGGCACATTTCACAATGCCCAGCTAATTTTTGTATTTTTTAGTAGAGAGAGGGTTTCACCATGTTGGCCAGGCTGGTCTCAAACTGCCAACCTCAAGTGATCACTCGCCTCAGCCTACCAAAGTGCTGGGATTGCAGGCGTGAGTCACCACACCCAGCCTAAATCTTTATTTTTTTATAAAACAATATTATGTGAACATTTTTATAAAATGGTAAATGCTATGGTTTGAGTGTTTGTGTTCCTCCAAAATTCATGTAGAAACTTAATCCCCAATGCAACAGTGTTAAGAGGTAGGACCTTCGGGAAGTAATTAGGCCATGAAAGTTCCACCTTCATAGATGGGATGAGTGCCCTTATAAAAGGGCTTGAGAGTGCAAGTTCATCTTTTTTTGCCCTTTCCGCTATGTGTGGACACAGCAAAGGTGCCATCAATGAAGCAAAGAGCAAGCCTTCACCCGACACCAAATCCACTGATGCCTTGATCTTGTACTTTCCAGCCTCCAGAACTCTGAGAAATAAATTTCTACTATTTATAAATTACTCATTCTATGGCATTCTATTATAGCCACCCAAACAAAGATAGTAAATATATGTGAACTTGTTAATTTGCTATTCAATACTTTCAAGTATTTCTCAGTGAATCTCCCTAATAACAAAATATTAAACACTAAAAATGTATACTTAGAAAATAAAATCATTCTGTATTTTTCATTTATAAGATCCCCACACAATGACCTATAGATATCCAAGATATCCAAGGTAATTACACAATGCAAATAGACTGGTACTCGTTTTTCAGATGTGTATCTCTTTAGGTAATATGTGTATACATATAAACTCTTTATTTACATATATATATTTTTTTCTACATATTTATCCCGACATGCACAACTGCTGGGTAACGGATTTCCACACTGGATTTCCAAGGAATGAACCAGATCATGAAGTATTTCCTTCCTGATGTATCTGGCTAGTCTCAAATCAGCTCTGACCTCTCCTCTTAGCCCTGGCTAATGCCTCGTGTCCGAACACTGGCTTTCCATAATTTTTATTTGACAATTCCCCCTCTTTTGGTAAGTGGGAGTGTGATAAAAATTTACGACATCAGTACTACTCTCAGTTGCCATCATTTTGGGTTTCTGGTCTCAACATGCCATTTATAGGTTACAGTGTCCTCCTCATTACTGAGACAGGATTTTTTCTTGACCTTGACCCCTTTCGTAGGGAGGAACTGGAGTGGCTCATTTCACTCAGCCTGCAGTCCATGGATGGCTATTACAGCTCAGTGAAGGTTCAGGGTGACAGCCTCCTGCACCTGCCCTTTTTGACACCTGAATTCTTGTTCAGCATCCAGGAAAAATCTGTTCACATGAATGGACTGAAAAGTAGTGTGTGCAGAGGATTTTACTGGGTGATGGATGTGGCTCTCAGCGGAATGGGGAGTTGGAAAGGGAGTGGTGCAGGAAGAAGGTGATCTTTCCCTGAAGCCCAGCCATCTCCAGCCAGGCCCCCCTCCAAAGCTGCACCATCTAAAGTTACCCATGTCTATCTGTTGTCTCTGACGTTCAGCCACATGCATCCCTAATGTTCAGCAGCTTGTATCCCCAACCACTTGCATCAGCCACTTTTGCTGCTTTTTTTTCTTCTTTTTTTCTGTCAGCCGGTCTGCTTTTTATGGGCACAGAATAAGGGGCAGGGCGGGCCAGAAAGGCAGTCATTTGGGCAGAAAAATGGGGTCTGTTTTTACTTAGGGTCGATGTTCCAGGCTTTAGGGTCGAGGTTCCAGGCTTGAGGGTTGGTTTTAGCTGGAAGCCCAGCCATTCTGTATTATTACCATGGATTTCTTTGAGTTGTTGTTCCAGCTAGAGAGACACCATTTCATGTTTGACAGATAGCTGTAAGGAAACATTTAAACTTTTGTGTGGTCATGTGGTGCATATCTGCAATTCCAGCTACTCAGGAGGCTGGGGTGAGAGGATTACTTAAGTCCAGGAGTGTCAGACCAACCTGGGCAACCTCTGTCTCAGACCCCATCTCAATTAAAAAACAAACCAAAAAAAAAAAAAAAATTGTGTGGTAAATGTGTGTAAATGCTTCAATTTTTGTTTACAAAAGTATATTTTACCAAATTATTGTAAGCTATAGATAGCTTAAGAGAAGAAACAAAGGTTTTCTTAAATCTGGAAAAGAAAACATTATAAGAACTAGCAAAGTTTCTGGCCGGGCACGGTGGCTCACGCCTATAATCCCAGCACTTTGGAAGGCTGAGGTGGGCAGTGTCAGGCCTCTGAGCCCAAGTCAAGCCACTGCATCCCCTGTGACTTGCACGTATACGCCTAGATGGCCTGAAGTAACTGAAGAATCACAAAAGAAGTGAAAATGCCCTGCCCCACCTTAACTGATGACATTCCACCACAAAAGAAGTGAAAATGGCCGGTCCTTGCCTTAAGTGATGACATTACCTTGTGAAAGTCCTTTTCCTGGCTCATCCTGACTCAGAAAGCTCCCCCACCGAGCACTTGGTGACCCCTACTCCTGCCCGCCAGAGAACAACCTCCCTTTGACTGTAATTTTTCTTTACCTACCCAAATCCTATAAAACGGCCCCACCCTTATCTCCCTTCGCTGATTCTCTTTTCAGACTCAGCCTGCCTGCACCCAGGTGATTAAAAAGCTTTATTGCTCACACAAAGCCTGTTTGGTGGTCTTTTCACATGGACGTGCATGACAGGCAGACCACCAGGTCAGGAGTCCAAGACCAGCCTGGCCAATATGGTGAAACCCAGTCTCTACTAAAAAAAGAAAAAAAAAAAAATTAACTGGGCATGGTGGCACACGCCTGTAGTCCCAACTACTCGGGAGGCTGAGGCAGAAGAATCACTTGAACCCTGGAGGCAGAGGTTCCAGTGAGCCGAGATTGTGCCACTGCACTCCAGCTGGGGCACAGAACAAGACTCTGTTTCAAAAAAAAAAAAAGCTGGCCGGGGGTGGTGGCTCACGCCTGTAATCCCAACACTTTGGGAGGCCGAGGTCAAGACCAGCCTGGCCAAGATGGTGAAACTCTGTCTCTACTAAAAATACAAAAAAATTAGCTGGGCGTGGTGGCGGGCGCCTGTAATCCCAGCTACTCGGAGGCTGAGGCACAGAATTGCTTGAACCCGGGAGGCGGATGTTGCAGTGAGCTGAGATCATGCCACTGCGCTCCAGCTGGGGCACAGAGCAAGACTCCGTCTCAAACAAAAAAAGAGAACTAGCAAAAGTTTGAAATAAAGAAACCTTAAAAACCCATAACTCTTTTTCATCAGTTCATTGTGTCTCATGTAATTCTTACTCTAATCTTGGTCATCAGTTTCACAAACTCTATTTTTTCATTAGAATTATGGAA